TGGAAGCTTATCAGGTGAGCCTTAGGGTCTCCGGTCCCGTTGTATACTATCCCCTGGGGGGGCCTGCAGTCCCGCGGGATTTCCGCATTCATGACCCTCGGGGTGAAGGGTGAAGTGAGGGAGAAACGCGGCGTAGCTGGGGTGGCCTCCGCCCGTCTGTCCATTTCGGCTAATCGCCGCTCCATTGCCTCTAGCCGGGCCTCCTGTGCGGCCCTTCCGGGGGACACAGGAGGGGCGGCCTCGAGCGCAATGTTCCTCCGTGGGGCAACCGCGTCGGGTTGCCTTCGAGTGATATGGGCGCCGTGTCTTTGGAAACGTCGTCCAATGTTACTGGCGGCGGGGGTAATGGCGGTGCCCTGCTGCTCGGAGGGAATATCCGGCGTGCGTCTCCGGTGGTCATCCTGCCAGCCATAGCGGGCGGTGCTGGCGCTGGTATGCCCCCCAGCTCCATGGGAAGACGGATTCTGGCCCAACCTCATGTGGATGGGCGTCCGGCGCTCGGCAGATTCCGCTGTCTCATCCAGGGACTGCATGCGGCGGACGGGTGATATGGGCGTCCAGATGGTGTTAGCTGAGTACACCTCTTCGTTCGCCTCCTGTTCGTCCGCCATTCGGCGCATCGTTTCCGCCAGCTCCCTCATGAGTCGAGGGTCATGCCTGGCCTCATGGGGGATGAGGTTTGTGAGGCCACCCTCACCCCCAGTTGCTCCCAACGTCTCGGAGCGTTCCGTGGTTTGCCCGCGGCCGCTTCGTCCGCGGGACAGCTGCTCGGAGAGGTCACGTTGGCGATTGTTTCTTGTCATCGTGCTTGCTGTGGGTAGATTTAGTAGCTGTTTGGGAGAGTTTTTTGGAAACTTTTAGTTCAGTGTTCCCACAGACGGCGCCAGTGTTGAGGTTTATTCCTTCAACCTTCAGGCCCAACACGTAAGCCCAAAGATTTCGAGTGGAGTGCGTGTGAACAAACTAGCCCAACAAGCAGATGATAGGGGTCAAGAAACAATAAAGTAGCAAGTAAGTGATTAGGTATTATTATCTCTTAATAACTCCCTAATACAATACTTTTTGCTAAGGCTCCGTCGGCCGTTCGTCTTACAAGGCAGTAGAAGTGCTGCGAATAAGAATACTATAGCTAGAGTGCTAAGAATAGAAAGTTGCCAACCCTTTACAATGAAATAAATGCTTCTATTTATACCCGCCAATGGGCAGGTGGCTATGCTGACGTGGAGGCCTGTGGACCGCTTGTGTCCCAACCACCAAATCTTCTGCATTAAATGCACTTCCCGCCAGAATCTAGGTTTCCCGCCTAAATAATGGGGACGTCCGTCCGCCCGGGAGTGAGCTGGGTCACTCCAAGTGACCTTCAAGAAACTTCAGCTGTTCGTCCCCTGACCTTGGTGGATTCTCTCCATGTGGACTGGATCTCCTCCGACGATCATGGGCCTGCGCAGGAGACGTCCGTCGTTATCCTTGATGGCCAGTGGTCCTGCCCCTTACCTCTGCACAGACGTTCATCGCGATGGGCCGTTTGAATCTGGACCCCCCAATTCCAGACGTTCGTCTCTTCCCAAGGGTCATGGGCCTGCGCCCAGCCTGGTCCTAGCACGACGTGCGTCCGATAGAAAGAAGGGGTTAATGGGCCGGACCTCGGCCTGGGCCATTATCCCAACACATACGTTATACGTAGATAATTTGAGTTCACCTTATATTTAATTTTACAATGGATACGTTGAATTCATCCTACACTGAATTCATCTTTTAGGTATTTTAATAGTTAGTTCTAATTAATTATTTTTGCACTTATCATTCTTTGACCTTGCACTTTTAGTAGTTTTGAATTTTTTTATTTTTTTGCAGGTAAGATGCAGCGTTGGGGAACAATTGTGATCCATTTGGGAGAAAAAGTGCATTGGATTTTGTAAAAAGTGTCAATGTAAAGTTGTATAAAGTGTGATATAATAGAGCACTTTTGTATGTATTCAAATGCACATTCAAAAAGTGCATTTTGTTTTGTAAAAAAAGCGTGTGTAAAGCATTAGAAAGTATGATATAATAGTGCACTTTATGATAATTGCTACTTACACTATTATATATTTCTTCATTCTTATTTAAAATCATTTTTTTAGAACAAGCTTAGTATGAAAGTGCACGAGTACATGAGTAAAGTGTGGGTTAATGTAACATTAAGTGCAATGAAAGGATATAAAAGTGAAGCTTACAATTACCAGGTAAAATTAACTTAATTAAAATGTTATTTCTCTCCAAAAGTTTTTACTTCGAAGAATAGATTCAGTTATCTAAACTATTGATAGTGCAAAAATACTCAAATATTTAATTAAATTGATGTCGCCTAATATTTCGATTAAAAGTGCATCTACTCAACGTAGGTGTGCAAATAGACAATCCTAATTTGATTCTACTAATGAAATATTACCTTCGGCAAAAAAGATTAGATATAAAAATATAGCATGATTTCAGTAGCTTTTTAAATCAAATTGGTTATCTAAATTAAATGTAAGAGTATTTAAATTCGGAAAGAAAATTAAATAAAAGAAGTATTTATTAGATCTTAATTATGATATGATGGAGTTCATGCATTAATTAGTTTCCCAATTTATAGGATGTTTTCCTATTATGGTGGCTCGTTCATGACAACTACTTGGATTCTTTTTACCATTGTGCCCCTTGATAAATAAAGAGTTGCACGTTACCTTATTTACTACATTAGTTATTCGAATGTCTTGCACATAATTCTTTATTACGGAAAATCCTAGGCCATCTGATTGAATTAATTGATGGTTAGATTTTGTTCTTTTTTACTCTCCTAAGAGGGTGTTCTCACAGGAACCGCACCCTATATATATATATATAGGGGTGAGATCACATACTAACCATTCCTCCCATGCTAACCTATAAACTATCAAAAACGGTGCATCTTTACATTATTTGTACTGCATATTGAAGTTCAAAGTGTTGCATGTTATTTGTACTGCATATTAAAGTTCAAAGTTTTGCATATTGTTTTTATTGCATATTGAAATTCACAGTGTGCATCTTTATATTATTTGTACTGCATATTGAAGTTCAATGTGTTGCATATTATTGAGTTAGTAAGTTAGTATTTTAAGCATGGTTAGTATGTGATCTCTTATCTATATATATATATATATATATATATATATATATATATATATAGACTAATATTAAGGTCCGGCCAGGCCGGACCACTCCCCCCGTCCGGCCTCCTCCATTTGGGGGCCTTCCCGATGGTATTGTTTGCTCAAATTTTTTATGTAGGTTCCTCATCAAGTCTAGTTCATCCATACCAAATTTAAGCCAAAAATTCAATCGGGAAGGTCGTCAAATGATTTTTGCAAGTTAACTGGTCTGGAATATGTATTTTCCGGACCAGTTAACTTGCAAAAATCATTTGACGACCTTCCCGATTAAATTTTTGGCTGAAATTTGGTATGGATGAACTAGACTTGATGAGGAACCTACACAAAAATTTGAGCAAAAAATACTACCGGGAAGGCCCCCAAATGGAGGAGGCCGGACGGGGCTCCGGTCAGGTATACCTGACCGGAAGAGTACTCTCTCTCTCTCTCTATATATATATATATATATATATACACACACACACATTTCTACTGCATATAATTTATGTAAAGGAGCTTCAAAAAATCATAATTTATGTAAGGGCTTTCGTGTACTTTAATTCAATCATACAGATTTATATAATTAATGATTAATGTTTTATAATTATTGTACATGTGTACCATTTGATTACTCTTTCGACACTTTGAAGATGAAGAGGATATTTGAGATGGGAGTTCTATGGTGCACCCCTTAATTTGATTGTACCATAGGAGTCAATAATATTGTATCACATGGAAAATAATTAAAATATATATATGGATTTAATGTCTATGTGACATTGTTTTATTTGCCTGCATAAGAAAGTGTACCATGCATGCAAAATATAGAGGTGCACCATAGAATGTCCCTATTTAAGATTGATGCCCTGTAATTTACTTTTTCCACTATTATAGTTTAAGAGAGCAGCAAATTGAAAATCTTTTGTCATACACCAAGTATGAAGGCACTTTACTTCTTAAATAGTTAATACCTTTAATTTATTTTATGTGTTCTTTTTTAAAACTTTGCATGCAAGTATTTCCAGGTGACCCGATGTGTATGAGTGAGAAGCCAATGATGTTTGAAGAGTTGTGGTTGTGAATAAATCGGTCTGGTTCGATCCAGTACCGGTTCTCATTTTACGAGAACCGGTCATGGCATGGTTTGGAACCGGTACGGTTCGGTTCAGGACAAAAAAAAATTCAAAACCATTTCGAACCCCGTTATTAGGTCCGGTACTATATCGGTCTGGTCCGGCACCATGCCGGTTCAGTATTTTTGTCCACCCCTAATCATACATTAAAAATCATTTTTTATCAAACATTCCATCTTTAACTTTTCCATCTAAGTCACTTCTATACTAAAACACTACCAACTTTTACTCGAAAATCACTTTTTGCAAAATCACTTTTTAAAAGTAGAATCAACCGCAAATCCTGAAATGTAATTGCTATTCAATTTAATTATCCAATTATAGTTTTTAATTAAAATTTAAAAAAAATGGCAGAGGTTGTATTGTTCCAACTTCCAATATCCATATGGAAAAATTGACAAGAATAATCTCACCTTTCACTGGTCTTCTCATAATAATCCCACCTTTAAATAATCCCAAAATAATCTCACCTTTTCAGCTCATCTTCTTTCATTCGACCCTGACCATGTTTTTTACTCTTTCTTTGAAAATTATACAAATAATCTCACCTTTCACTTTTTAATTATATCCTTATAAATGTGAGATTATTTATATAAGATTTTTAAAAAAGGTAAAAAACTTGGTCAGGGTCCAATGAAAGAAGATGAGGTGCAAATGTGAGATTCTTTTGGAATCATTTAAAGGTGAGATTATTATGAAAACATTAGTGAAAGGTGAGATTATTCTGGTCTATTTTTCCTATCCATATTCGGAAGTTTGGAACTTGCAGTCGCGACCCTTCTAGAAAGACGACAATCAGTCAATCGGTGGTTCCCGGCTGCCAGATTGAAAATGGATCGGGTGCGACCCGGAGAGCCCGACAGCTTAGAAGCTTCACTGATGCAATTGATCAACGATCACCATGATAAGTCTCTCAAGCTCCGGGCTTTTACGGGTTAGTATCTAAAACATGTTTCTTTTGCAATCCTGGTATAATTTTGTGGGTAGGGTTCAGAGTTTTGCTTTTTGCTTCTGGCTTTGAAAAATTGATTAGAGCAATCGAAGAAAGATGCGGTTCATAGCGCGACTCGGGTTTCGGATCTTCTGGTCGACGCCGTGAACGGCGGTGTCCAAGAGGCTTACGCCATCGAGAAAAAAATCGAAATGGAAATTCGTGCTTTGGCGGCCTCCATTATGCGATTCGGAAAGCAAACGGATCAGTGGCTAGCCGCTTCTCACGCTATCAACACCGCAATCAAGGTATTCATTCACTTTATCCATTTTTTCGCTTATAAGGTTCATTTTTTTTATGTAGACTTGCATATATTCGATCGTTTCATAGCTATACATGGATATTTCGTTTTTTCTCAGTTCACATATCAAACTGTTGAGCTCCTCTAATTGGATAAATGTGTTTCAATCTTTGGCAGTTTACATTTCAAACGAGTGAGAGAAGCCTGTAAAGATTTTCTTCAACCGCCCATAGTAACTGATTAGAAGTGTTCTCATAGCTAGTCATGAAACTTTAGGGGTGTCCTTAATTAGGATTTTATAGCATTTTAAAGGATTGAGATTTTAATACGTAGTAGATTTTTATGGAATTGAATAGAATATGTTAGATTCCATGGAATTGAAAATCATTCTGAAAAGTAATTCATAGCAGCTTCGACACCCATAAAGCCTCAACTTCTCTCTCACTGTTTGCCTGATTTGCCATGACCTGACTTCGCCGCCGCAGGATACTTCTCCGGCCTGTCTCCCATTAGGTCAGTGCAGCTTTCGCAGCCAAAGAAGGAGAGGAGATGGATGGGCAACATATATCCAACGAGGAGGAATCGTCTGAGCTCTAATCCTAGACTTCCAATCCCTTTAATGTAGCCGGCGAGCTCGTTCTGGCGAGTCACCTGGAAAAGTATTGCTTCTCCCTTTGCTTCTCCACGGGAAATCCTTTGAAATACAAAGGGAAAGCAGAGATTTTGAATCGTATTCTTTCCTTTGCATTTTAGCTTTGAAATCCATAGAAATCTTAGCAATCCAAGAAAAAGAATCCATGGACATTTTGAGGACAACATATTTTGCCTGATTCCACGAGACTCCACATTGAGGACAGTGGATTTCTATGAATTTCAACAATCCGAAGGGAATTTCAACAATCCTTTAAAATATAATGGAATCGTAATCTTTGAGAATTTATATAGCTACGTGTGGTATCATGAAATCAGGAAAAAGTCGCAGCATATAAGAGGTCTGATCTTTTCCCAAGAAAATACATGCTTGAATATAGCACCAAACTTTGTTAGAGATTGTTTGTTTGCGATGCAAATTAGCAGTTCTCCTAGAAAATAAAAGGTGAGGATTGACTCCTACATATCACACCAAAAACCTACTAGCTAGAAAAAGAAAGCTATTTTATTTTCCTCCTTTGGTGATAGGGTGGGATTTGAATCTTTGAGATGCTTATCTAAACACCCTCTTATAGATCAATATTACCCTCCCATAAAACTATCCGGCCTCTGGGGACCCTATGGATGGGACACATCCTCTTTTTGAGTAAGTGGTGTCTATTTTCTCTTCAATCAGTTTAATTTGGCCGAAGCATTTATCTGTTACCTATACATTATCATACACAATTAAAGTTCAAATAGTGAAGGGTTAGCATGAAATCTGTTTGGGGTGCATCCTTTTTTTTATGGGGTGCATCCTTTGTTTGTGTAAGTAGTGGCCCCCTATGGATGGGGTGCATCCCTTTTTCCAGTAATTGGTGTCTATTTCTCTTCAATCAGTTTGATTTGGCTGAAGCATTTATCTGTTACCTATGCATCATCATACACAATTAAAGTTCAATTCCGTGAGGTGTTAGCGTGAAATCTGTTGTTAGGTTGTGTAAGTGGACCCCCTAAGGACTTCTTTTTGAGTAAGTGGTGTCTATTTTCTCTTCAATCAGTTTGATTGGGCTGAAGCATTTGTATGTTACCTATACATCATCATACACAATCAAAAATTAAATCAGTGAGGTGTTAGCATGAAATCTGTTGTTAGGTTGTGTTTACGTATTAATCGTATTATTAGTATAGATACTAGATAGTGTCATTATTTTAAAGCTGGACTGATGGACTCCATGAAGTTGATCTTTTGATTTTTGGCATAAAAACATTTCAAACCCCTGATATAGTGTCACTAATAATTACGATTTGGATCATATTTTCATATAGAAAGGGTGCACAAACGCAGTGAGTGGCTTACTGGCTTCATGTGTGTTTGAGATGTGCAGGAAATAGGAGACTTTGAGAATTGGATGAAGACAATGGAATTTGATTGCAGAAGTATCACTACTGCAATCTGCAACATTCACCAAGCATAGTATATCAATGATAATTTGATACCAAAATACTATGTCTCTTATTGATACCTAATTGGTATAAAAAAACATGATTTTTTATTGATACTAATAGTTAGTGAGTGTATGTATAGTGTGCACATGTTCTGCTACCGAATTAGGATATTTCTATTTAGATTAAAATTTTCTAATTTGATTTGATTTGTTTAATTTTGATTTGAACTGATTTGATAAAGTCCGATTTATATGTATTTTATTATTGATCTAATCTATTTAGGTCTGGCATGATTTGAAATGATATTCTATGAGAAATATATTAGTCTATTTAAAAATGTCCTTAATCCTCTTCAAAACTCAATGTTGTGAGTGCTTTTTTCCTTATATTTTCCGATCTATTATACATTTATACTCCGTAGTATTGTTCTATCAAAGATGTGAATGCTTTTTTTTCTATACTTTCTACGGAGTAATATATTACGGAGTATAATATTTTTTTTTTATCAATGATGTAAATGCTAAAATATTTATTGTTCTATGAATGACACGGTTTGACACTGTTTTGACACTATTTTGTTTACCAAATAAGGAAATAGGATTTTTTTAGGCGGTTCGATTTAGCTCGAAAAAGAAAGTGGTATGTTTGTTTAGGGATGGAGGAAGTATAAACAAAATTAAAAAGTAGCAATAATATGGAGGTGGACAAAATTGTCCAGGCTTGGAGAAATCCTAGTGGGTCTGGGACCGGTTCGGTTCCTACACAAAATAGAATGAACCGTTTGAAAAATATCAAACTTAATAACGGTTCGATTCTTATAGATTTTTAATTTTTATAGAACGAGATGGAACCGAACCATTCTTAACATCTTGGTTCTTGTCATTTAACGGTTACTAGTTTTGAAATTTTTTGTTAAAGTTGTGTCAAAAAAACATTAAACAATTTAAATTACAAGAAATACAAATATGTATCATCATTTCAAACCTCAAATGTTGAGTTTAAAACATAAATAAATACCAAACTGAAAATTTTATTAAATGAAACAAAACAACATATTTACTACAATCAATAATTATGATCTTGAGTCAATCACGTAATTAGTGAGCAAAAAGTCATTCATTTCAAAGGATCACGAGCAGAGCACTCCATTCCGTCCATATGGGCCTTAGAGGAACCCGCCAAAATAAATATTAAATAATAATGTTGAATACTTAAATAATTAAACAAAATAGTGGGTGTAATGCAAAAATGAATAAGTAAATATACATTAAAATATACTACCTCCGTCGTCCCAAAAAATTGTTTACGCTTACCTTTTTGGGATGTCCCAAAAAATCTTCCTATTTCCCTTTTTGGAAAAGTTTGTGTGACTAGCATTCATTTATCTTTTTGTTACTCAACCACAACCATACATTTTCATTTTATTCTGACTTTCTTAAACTCCGATCCAAGTCAAATTGGCCGGGACGAGGGGAGTATATGCTAATAAGAATTATATATATATTTTTAATTATTATTGATGAAAGTAAATCCACCGGAAAATAATAATAGATAGCCGAAAATAATTAAAGCACTTTGAATAATATTTAGAGAGATAAATGTATGTAGTATATTCAATGTATTGAGCTTGATCGTTCTTGAATTGATAACACAAAATTGGGACAACAAATATTCGGGTGACATGGTTGCCATGCCTGAATTGACGAGCCACCATCCTGTGATTTGAGGGACTGATCATGAGTTGACCCGTGATCTTCGAGATTTGTTGTTGATCACGTAGCTTCTTGGAAGTAACATCATGCATGTGCAATGGTCTAAGCGGTTGTGCACCACCACACGTGTAGAGTCGCACCATGTGATGATGCTCAGCATGCCATGTCCGAATCCCATGGTAGAGTTAAGACCGTGTCGTGCTGAGCATGTCATGTCTAAGCCTCATTGTAAAGATAAGACCACGTCACGCTCAGCACGCCATATCCTTGTAAATGTGACTCCATGCTTCTCATCCCGAGTATGTTGACCATGTATTTCCTTGGGACTGATGTCCATGTTCGCCTCGTCCATCTTATTTACGGGTTCAGCCCGCATTCAATCGAGCTTACCACATTGAGCCGGTATTTATGTCATCAATTATATATACGGAGTAATAATTCTTCACAGTTGCATGTACACTTTTTTTTCCCATAAATTGAGAATCGACCCGTTAATCAAAAATAGAAACCAAACCTGTAACAAGTACTCCATCCATCCCCCTTATATTGTCCCATTTTACCTTTTCAGGAAATCCCACTAAAATTGTCTCATACTAGTAGGGGTGGGTAGAAATACCGAAATATTGGTATACCGCACCTACCGTACCGAAGAATACCGGAAAATACCGAAATATTGATATACCGTCATTTTTCGGTATGGTAACGGTAAATGTTTTCAAATATCGTGGTATACGGTATAATACCATACCGCCTCCCTACCCAACAATTACTTTAAATTCTAAGATATTGTAAAAGTCCATTACAGTTTTGAAGCCCAAAATTAATACTTAGGTTGGTTACAAATACTAAAATACAAAAAGAAAGGTCCAATTTCTGAAACCACTATAAACTTCTATGTTTCTACTATCTAACATTCAAACAAACAAACACTAAAGGCTAATGAGTAATGTATTAATGTCCATAAACTAGTCCATTTTTGTGATGGCTGAACCGCTGACGAGTGAAGATGAATATACTTGTGTGACGAGTGTATCTACATAATGATATATTCCGAGAGTCGAGGCACACAAGGTTGTCTGAAATTCTTATTCAAATTTTTTTAAACTACAAAAATGACTAAAGACACAATATCATATTAGGCATAAATGATTCTATATCCATGTTGTTTGAATAATTTTATTTATTTTTGTTAAAGATAAGTATTCATATAATTATATCTATATTGTTCAAGTTATTTTAGAAGAATGTGTTATTTTTTAATACCCGGCATGTTGAACTGCTTAAATATGCTAATAATAATTATTGTTCAATATTGAATATACTAATTATTGTTAGGAGAAATGAATAGAGTACTTATTGTATTTTGTAACATTCTAATAATGGATTAAATATGCCACCAGTAACACCAATTTTGTTAGTCTATGATAATTTGTTGTATTGGGAGACATGCATGGTAATTTATCAATATCGTACCGTTACCGAACCGAAACTTCGGTATACCGAAATGGATATACCGAAACTTCGGTATATGAGAGAAAATATTCGGTATACCGTACCAAACCACCCCTACATACTAGTACCATATTTCGTAAAACTTGTGTAGCTCTAAATCTTTCTTACTTTATTCAGATTTTATTCTTATTTTATCAATTAATATCAACCACAACCCCAATTTTTTTTAATAATCGTGTCACCCTTTTACGTCCCGGGAGGGAGACAGTAACTAACAAATGTTGGAACCAAATCAAACCAGTCCATAACAGTTCGGTTTGATTCTATTCTCTCATTCAAGCCCCCTCTAAAACCCTAGCATTATATTGGACAAAATAATGAAATATGGTCGCCAACTGCCTAGCATTATATATTGGGGGTGCGAACCCCTAGTTCTCTAGCAGCAATGGCTATTCCGTTCTCAGGTCGTGGAGGCAGCGGCGGCGGATTTAGGGGCGGCAGAGATGGAGGACGAGGAAGGGGCAGGGGAGCATTCAGTGGAGGCAGAGGCAGAGGGAGTGCTATGAAGCGTGATGGAGGTAGAGGTGGTGGAAGAGGCGGCGGAAGAGGTGGCGGAAGAGGAAGAGGACGTGGAGGAATGAAAGGAGGGAGTAAGGTTGTTGTGGAGCCTCATAGGCACGAGGGAGTGTTCATTGCGAAGGGGAAGGAGGATGCACTTGTTACTAAGAATCTGGTACCTGGTGATTCTGTCTACAACGAGAAGAGGATTTCTGTTCAGGTATTAGTGTTGACACTTGTGTTGTTTTTTTAATGCATTTTCTTAAGTTGTTTGAATATAAACCTGTACATATTAGGTATGTAGCCGTCGTTTTTCTGAGGAGTTGTATCAAGCTGTTTTTCTCTATATGCAATATATCAAAATCTATGGAGTCTTGAACTAATAGAATCTAGTTTTAATATAACTATACCCTTTCAATAGAATGAAGATGGAACGAAGGTTGAGTACAGAGTGTGGAATCCTTTCCGTTCTAAGTTGGCTGCTGCTATTCTTGGAGGCGTGGATGAAATTTGGATTGTAAGTTTTTTAAATAGTATATGACCATATTTATCTTCGATCTTGTTAGTGATTAATCTTTAAACTCATGTTTATCATCATTTCTTTTAACAGAAACCTGGCGCGCGCGTTCTCTACCTTGGAGCGGCATCTGGAACAACTGTCTCCCATGTTTCCGACCTCATTGGTCCGGTAAGGTGTTTTTTGGAAATCATTTATTCACTTGTTAGATGCAGTGAATGTGACTGCACCGAGACTGGGGTTGTGAATATAATTCTTTCTTTTTTGTGTTTTAGACTGGGGTTGTCTATGCAGTCGAGTTTTCAAACAGAAGTGGTAGAGATTTGGTGAACATGGCAAAGAAACGTACCAATGTTATTCCCATTATTGAAGATGCCCGACATCCTGCTAAATACAGGATGTTAGTCGGAATTGTTGATGTCATATTTTCTGATGTTGCTCAGCCTGATCAGGTTCTCATTTCGTTTATCTCTGAAATCGGGTCGTGTACTTTATAAAATTATCCAGCCCACCATTTTACCCAATTTTGACCTCGGTTTAAATTCTTAGATGCCAATTTACGAAACCTTGTTTATGAATTTTCTTTTTTGATTAAGCAAATGATGATTCACTCGGATTCCCCATCAAGACTTACTGAGTGATGTAAAACCGAGTTTCTGATGCGTCATTATTTGAGTACAGTATGTTAATGTCTTGTTTGTTCCCAAAACTTTTAATATTAGTAATCTTGGAGTTTCTTTTTAGCTCAAATTTTTGTTCTGTTTTTAGTTTCTTGCTATGTGTTTATGAACTTTATTGGCAAAGCAAATGATTTTTACCTTGCTTTCAATGTAGTGCAAAAACAGAGTTAATTGTGTAATACATTTCAGTATGTTAGGTTCTTACCTTATGTTTTTATTTATATTGTTGCATATATTTTACGGTATAATTTGATACATTGACATACTTGATGGTGCGGGATATATATATGTATTAACTATGGATTTCTTTTTTAAAAATTTCTAGAACATGACAAATCACAGTGACTTGAAGTATATAGTTTTCAGATATTTTCTCAATTGAAATTCAGCCAACTGTCCAAAAATTTGGACAAAGTTCACAAATAAAATTAACGCTTGTTCCCAAAGTGGGGCTTATGAGCTTATCCATCCTTAATTAAATAAATAAGACCATTAAGTTTTCTTCTCTAAAGGGTATATTAGTTATGTTCTAAGGAAAAAATAACGATCCTAATTCAGTGAAAGTACTACCGATCAGATGTCGTATGGTTCTGCTATTGTAATGAAATGTGGCAGCTGAATGCCCCAAATGAGGTTGTGGGTAAAGTGATCCTATTTCTTTGCAATTTCAAATTAGTGTATTATCATTCATTTTATGTGAGTTCGAAGTTCGAACAACTCTTGAAATGTTATAAACTTGATAAATTTTAGTCTTGTTATTTTCTTATTTATAGGCAAGGATTTTAGCGCTGAATGCCTCTTACTTTTTGAAAGCTGAAGGTCATTTTGTCATATCCATAAAGGTTGGTTTCTTTGGATACAGAGAAGGAAAATGATGGCAAATCTTTTATTTCTTGTTGCTCTTTTGGATCAGCACACTTCTATTCTCCATGTTGACTTGCTATGCTTTTCTCAGGCTAACTGCATAGATAGCACTGTACCTGCTGAGGCTGTATTTGCTCAAGAGGTTAAGAAGCTGCAAGCAGATCAATTCAAGCCAAGTGAGCAGGTCACCCTTGAACCCTTCGAGCGTGATCATGCCTGTGTTGTTGGTGGTTACAGGATGCTCAAGAAGCAAAAGCCAACTTCCTAGGTTAGGAGTAGTAGCAAATGTCTTATTTTCAACTCAAACTTGAGGGTTGTTTCAAGTTTTGTATTGCATTATTTTATGCTTAATTAGTTAATCTGATCGTACATTTTCACAACATGAATTATGATTTTTTATTAGAACATTTTTGTAGCACATTTGACACAATGTTCCTCCCTAATGTTGTCTGCGAACGTAGTGGATGTATTATTTAGTTTTGTGTAATTTTTATCATGAAGTTTGAATTGTCATAAAACAGGCGTGAGATTATGAACATGTAACTAGGGGTGGATTGGGTCGAGCTAGGGCGGGCTCTGGGTCAAGATTATTCAGGCCCGGTACTAGCCTGGGTTACAATCGGGACCGGGTTGTGGATGAATTATTAATTTTTTTTTTGTGGCTTTTTCGAATTAATTCCAACACCTCCAACCCCACCCCCAAACCCCCCAAATCACCCAGCCCATGCAACCTAGCAGCTACTCAGGTAGTCCAACCCGGAAAAAAATAAAATAAAAATTATTTGAGCCTGGGCCGGGTTGGGCTGATTCATAGGAAGCCCATAGCTTGCCCGATTAATGCCCCGGTTCAGGTCCCAGTCCCGGCTGGCTGGGTCGGGCTGTTACATCACAGTAACGGACCGGGCCAGGCCGAATTGGCCCAGTCCACCCCTACATGTAACGATGCAGAAATTTTGAAAGTTGTCTTAATGTCTTTTTACAAAATGGAATACTGATTGTTGTCGACAATTTTAGATGATTCTTGGAATGTGTTCCAAAGAACAATGGCAGGAAGCTAAAGACTTGCATAGCCTCTTTAGCACAAATAATCGGAGCACAAATTATTGAAAGATAATAAAAAGTTATAAATTTAACATATTTTTTGTAATAATCAGAGCACAAATATAAAAAATACCGTAACATTTAAGAAAAAGGGATTTCATTCTGGTGGGGCCCTGCCTAATATTCTCCTCTTTGACTTGTTTTTTTTCCTAAGCCACCACTCGTCGTGGCGGTCTCTTAATTTGGTAATTTTGTTTTACGTACACCAAGTTAATAATTATTTAAACGTTTTTCCAATCTATATTTTCTAATGAAAGAGCATTTTTAACTAATTATCTAAACAGTTTCTAGTAAAAAAACTAATTATCTAAATATTTTCCAGTTTATATTTTCTAATAAAAAGAGCCTTATAACTTCTTTTTTAATTATTTTGTGACTATAGTTTCGAAAGTGAGGAGTTAAAGCACCTTGAGCATATGCACGTAAAACAAGACATTCAGAAAAAATGAAATGCAAATTTTGATCACATATTAATTCAAACATAATAGTTAAATGTTTCGCATCATCATAAACGAAATTACTAAAGTGTTGATTATTTGTAAACCTCAATATTTGTGTTTGTGTCCACTTGCTTTTCAATTTCGCCGCCTCTGTGGGATGCCAGACCTTCAAATGTCTATGAGTGTTGCCGTATTCCATCGATGTGCCCAAGCTCAATACTTGCTTACAATGTTTGCAAGTTGCATATCACTTGCCATCGACCGGGTTCTTTGCCTTATCAATATGATTTACAAAAAGAAGATTTGGGTTCTTCATCGGGTTGGGATGAACCGACGCCATCTTCCGCCTCCTCGTCGGGAGTTTCCTTGTCGCCTTGTTCCTTTGCAACTGTCACCGGCTCCTCCTCCTCATCGTCATCACCGACCTCTTCGTCAATATCAGGAATGTCTTTTTGTTGGTAAAACCGGCCATGTCCTTGGGCCAACAGTTGAGCGAGTTGCTCGTCAGACATCACATCTCTCTGTTAGTAATCTGTATCAAAACCATCTCGGTTTTGAGAAGAAGCCTTGACATGTCCTTTACCTTTGCCTAATGAAGAAGGATGTCCTTTCACAATCTCCTTCTTTCAGTTGCGTTGGAGGTTACCCAAATCTACATAATGTTTATATTGCGACGTATTAAAATGTAACAAATATTAAATTGTAACAAATATTAAAATGTGAGTACAATTAAAATGCAACTAATATTAAAATGTAACTAAAATGTGAGTTTAATACTAAAATGTAACTAATATTAAAATGATATTAAAATGTGAGTTTAATATCAAAATGCAACTAAAATGTGAGTTGTATATTAAAATATAACTAAAATTAGAATGTAACTAATATGAGAATAATGTAATATGAGAATGTAAGAAATATTACAATGTAACTAATATTTAAAAACAACTAATATTCAAATGTGAGAAAATATGACAAGTATAATAAATGAAATTAATATGTGAGTATAGTAAATGAAATTAAAATTCAACTACTATTACAATGTAACTAAAATGAAAACAATGTAAAAAAGATAATGTAATTTTTTTTAAATGTGTCTAATATTTAAATGCAACTAATATTCAAATGTTACAAATTGTATAAGATAGTGTGAGTATATTAAATGTGGCTAATATTTTTATGTAATGAGTTTAATATGGTTTATATTAGAATCTAACAAATATGTTTAAGTAATATGATAATGTGACAAGTATAGAATGAGAGTATAGTAAATGCAATTAAAATGCAACCACTATTAACAATTTCGAATGTGACTAAAAGGAGAATGTAAGAAATATCAAGTATGAATAACGTAAAATGAGAATGTAAATGTGAAAATGTAACTAATAGAATAATATACTTAATATATATAATTTATAAAATAAATTATATCGTAATTAATTGGATAAATGTATATTAATTAATGGGAATGCATGTAACTAATAGGACAAATGTAACTAGTAAGATAAATGTATAACTAATGATAATGAAAATGTAACTAATGGAATAAATGTATAAACTATAAATTTTATAATATACTTAATAAATTAATATAAGTATTATTAAAGTAACTAATATGTAATATAATGTTAACAGTATTTAATATATAACTATACTACTATAAAATGAGTAGTGCACTTATATTTAATACTTTAATGCATGTATTTATATAAATAGATATAATATATGTAAATATAAGTAGATATATAAGTGGATAATAAGTAGATAATAAGTATATAAGTGGATATGATATAGGGAAAATTACAGAAAACGTACATGCGGTTTGAGACATTTTTAGATAGGGGCATGTGTTTCATTTTCCAACAAAGTGGGGCATGTGTTTCAATTCCGTTATCATAGTAGGGGCATGACGTCTAACGCCGTTAGAAAAATTAACTCCGATTTTAAAAAGTCTCTGAAAAATTAAAAGAAAAATAATGGGAGGTGCGCCTTGTCAAGGAGATCAACAAACTACCTTTCTCTTTGGATTTTTCGGTTCTATTTGGATTATTTTTTAAAAACAAATTCGCTAATATCAATTTTCTGATGGACTTTTTGGAGATATGGTGGCTGGAAACAAAAAAAATAAAGATAATTTGTTGATCTCCTTGACGAGGCGCACCTCCTAGTATTTTCTTTTAATTTTTCGGAGACTTTTTAAAATCGGGGTTAATTTTTACAACGGCGTTAGACGACATGCCCCTGCTATGATAACGGAATTGAAACACATGCCCCACTTTGTTAGAAAATGAAACACATGCCCCTATTTGAAAATGACTCAAACAACAAGTACGTTTTCTGTACTTCTACCAATGATATATGTAAATATAAGAAGGTTGTAGTCACTAATAATTACATTTTAAAGATCGACAGAGGACAAATCTCAACCCCACACCCCTAGATTAATAAACAAAAAGGGTATATTTTTCCACTTTTCAATTGAAAAGTTACGGAGGATAGTATAATTGTGGTTTGGCATATCCCACATCTCATTACTTTTTCTAACCAGAGCAACATATAAAGAAAAAAATGATCTTAGGGGCATTTTTCTATCAAAAAATTCTTTTACAAATAAAAACTTTATTCATGAACAACTAAATTAGGAGAGTTAAAATTTGATTGTGGGTAGATAAAATATACTTCGTACGTAACGTATATAACTATCTCTACAATCTTATAAAGGGGAATTTTGTCAGGGGCTTAACGGGCATAAGAAAAATGTTGGTTGTTCTTTGTGCATAATCAGCATGTACTCTATGTTTATTTTGTTGTACGTTGTAACTATCGCAGCTTCTTCTATTGCTAACGGATGGACGGAAGGGCTTAACACTTTATCCCCTGTAGGTATAAGTCAAGTCGGTGTGTTTTGCCCTGCTGAAAAACATCGATCTTACTCCTATTCCCTCCACCGACGAAAACAAGGAGACCTCTCATTTTCTCTCTTCCGTTTCAGCATCTCAGCGTTCTGCCCTCCGTAATAATGGCTTCTTCACAGCCGTTTGCTTACTCAAGGGTCAGTGTGTCGCTTATAAATCACCTCTCCCAGTTGTTCACCAGATTTTCCGCTTCTTGCCTCTTCCATTCTTGTAAGTTTTTCCTCTTTCAATTTCAATCAATTTACATTGTATCATTGCTTTTTCTTTCATTTCATTCTACTATGAAGTAACTACTTAGCATTATTATTACTGCACCGTTGGGAGTGGGTATATCGAAAATGATTTATACTCATTCACAAAATTAGAATTAGTATGATATGATAATTATTCACACAAATCAATTTTGGTTATTCTTTATTCTTGGGTGGGTTTATAAAGCATGATGAATTGAAAACAATACACTTCGATTTTCGGTTTTTGTAGTTGTGATGCATTTTTATTTCTGATTATTTGTCAACACAGTATTCATTGCTAATATTTTCACAAACAGGATAACCAATACATCCAGTTTTCTTAATACTTTTCACCGGTAGAGATATTTGACCAATTCATTGAGTTTTTTAGACTCATGAATTTTCAGGATTGACATATTTCTAAGTCATATTGAAAACTATACTCAAATTACTATTGAGGATGGTTCAGTAGACTATGCAGGGATTTCCAAAGTCCAACTTTTATTTGCCCTTTTCCCGCACTGAAATGCCACCTCTTCTCCTGCAAAGCTTGCCAAATATTAAAACCCTGTCTTTTAATTTTCCCCGTACATCTCTCTCTACTTTGTTGTTAGTAGCTCATTAGCTTTTCTTTCTTCCCCCAATATGATCATATTCATCTATTAACCAGTGAAGGGTTGCGATGGACTGAACTCCAACTCTCAAGAAAATTATTGTTATGTTTTTTTTATATTTGTTTTGCATTTTTTTCTTGATTGTTTGTCTAGGGAGAGAACTCATTAGTAGTGTATTCACAAACCAGATGAGTAATACTTTTTCATTCACTGTTTACATCCAACAAAATT